GATATCACATCTACCCAAAGAACCTTGTCTGCCTAAATCCCAATATCTGCATTCAGAATCAACAATTTCCCATTAACTTCAGTAAGGACTAAATAGAAACAGACAGTGAAGTTCAGGATTTTATCCTAAGATATTCAGGGTAATACAGCAAGTTTTTCTGGAATATAAATGCCTGGCTCTTAATCTTTTTTTTTTTTTTTTAATATCAGAAGATATCAAAGAACTGTTCTTTCCTTATGGGACTGCATTTAGTTCCAGCCCAATCACTGAGACTTCACTAAGACTACAGTACATAAGAGGCTTGAATCTCCTGGCACCGTTCTGTATAACCACATGTGGAGCTGTAGGACTGCACAGTGTGAGGTAGACAGCATAAACAAGGCTTTTTTTGTTGGGAGTAGGCACAGGGACAGTGTCTGGTTATATATCCAGCCATAGTCTGCAAGAAAAAGTTTTTAGCATTTTTTCAAAAATCAAAGCAGCATTACAAATTGGAGTGATGGGTTTTGTCACAGAACATTTGTAGTCATACAGTGTTTTGCATAGCTGTGAAAGCAACACACATCCTGCTGAATCTTGATATTTCTTCAGTATTTTACAACAGTGTAGTATGAAAAGGTTGCTAAAAAAAAAGCTGCTCTTTCCAAGGTCACTGTTGAGAATTTTTTATACTAGAAAAATATTCTAAGTTGTGATACTGTTATTTTGTAGGTTTTTTGAGTAGTAAGTTTTAAATATATTAAGAGCTGGACATTAACGCAATTTCAACTGCTTTATTTTGTTAGAAGCTACAACTTTTGGGGAAAAAACACTTCAATAACACATTTACTATAGATCTCATACCATACTTTATATAACCATACTAGTGTATAATCATATCTGTGAATTCTGTAAAACTTTTTAACACGGAAATGTATATAGCATACGTTGCTTGTAAATGTCAGCTTAGACAACAATGGTAAGAAATCCCATTGAAGCTTTTAGGTTAGAGCAGGGCTTTCCTTCATTGGGCCCTGATTTTGTTAAAGTTACTGCCGTTTCCTACCTGGTAAAAAAAAAAAAAAAAGACAGTGGTCTTAAATGTGTAGGCA